ATTTATCAGATATTTCACAGATTTTTTTTTCAGCCCTACTGGGAGCTAGATTCGTTACACCCCTTCATGTTGTTATGCCAGGGGTGAAAATGAGCCTTTTCTCTTATACTTTGAAAAAGAACTGATTTATCTGATTGGAACCAGGAGCCTGAATTTTAAGCACATTAGCAACTCAGTTCTATGTCTGGTCTGTGCACACAATAAGGAGATTTGTATTCGAATAGTGCAAAGCTTTTCATCCTTGTGGCTTACTGCACAGGTGTAATCCCTAACAGGATGGATTACTTTTACAAGCTGGAGTCCCTAAATAAGGCAGTGGGTAGTATTTATGGCTGTCTACATGGACTTTGCCATCTCGAGCCAAGACTCAGACTTGGTGGGATCACAGACCCATATTTCCTTGTCTATCTGCAACTAATCTGTTGCCTCTCCAAGATTAGGTCCATTGAAAATCCCATTTCTTCCTTCATCACAGGATATTTTTGTCATTGGAGAGGCGTCCTGTATGTGTGATTCTGCCACAGTCCCCATGGGATAAGAGCTAGTAGCCAAGACAGGCTCACCTTGCTTGCATGTAGACTCTGCTTTGCCTAAAAGTAGAGGGTTGAATCCTGAGGTTTCTCCATTATCATTTCCTAAATATAGACTCAGACCTATATCTAAAATTAGGCTGGCATAATATGAGTACAAAGTGATTTTTGAACCTTGTACTTCATTTAGCATTTCAAATGTAGTGGAGAAAGTAGCATGGAATAGTTACTTTTGCCTTCCATGGGAAGTTCTGGACCATTACAGGAAAGTGTATTTGCTTTTACAGACTGAGGTTGATTTTTGGCACCCTGTGTCTCATGTGGAGTGAACCCTGTCTACTTATCCAAAGTATAATGGAAGGAATGGTCTTCCATTATACTTTGGATGTATATAATCATGTATGTCTTCCATGATTATTAAAGGTTTAGGACAACATATACAGGTTATGTCCAACTTGTAAGCATACAGTTATATTTTGGCTCTGATCTGCTGATTTTATTTCACTTAATTAAATAATTTACCTACCTTTAAAATGTTTTTAAATCTCTTCCTAGAAGGTAGTAATCCTAGGAGATCCTAGGAGACCCTAAATCCTCCCTAGGAGATTCTATTTTCTCTATAGGAGGAGATATTGATATTGGTATTGAACAACCTACCTAGTCATTCGTTGTGGTACCCAGCATTCTTCACAGCTAGAGTGATAGTTTTAAAGGCTCTCCACTTTTTTTCTGAAGTTTTTTTTCATTGTTTAGTCGTATAAGCAGGGTTTCTCTCTTATTTACTGAGTTTTTTAAAGTGTTTTGTTGAAGACGGGTTTCATTTGAGCAAAATGCATTTTGTTGAATTCAATGTTCCCATTGCTTTCCAGCCATCATTAGCTTGTCTTTTTGCTCATTAAAACAGGTCTAAATGCTCTCTAGCCAGTTTCCATGGATGTATCCATACAAGTCCTCTTATTCAACTTATCTTCTTTGTCTAGCAGTAATTTGCAAGGTTTTATTTATTTATTTATTTGTTTGCTGTTATTATATCCCATCAAATCTTAACAGATTTACACTTGTGCTGTTGCTGGGGTATTAGAAGGCAGCCATGAGCCCTTGCTCCAGTAGAAAAGTTTACCATGCTGCTGATGGAAGCTGGAAACAAAACTGTTGCTAGGATTCAGCACAGTGAAATGGGGTAACAAGACTGGGGGGATTTAAAAACAGAGGGCTTAGTTATGTTGCCACGGGATTTTAGCCAGCTTGATTACTTCTGAACAATGATGTAATGGTGGCATACTGGGCAAAAAGAAATGTTTTTGTTGTATTTTTTTTTTCTGTGCATCTTATGTCTCATACTCTTGTTTTCAAACTGAGAAGTTTCAAAATATTATCTTACAAACAGAATTACTCATTTGGATCTAAGGTATGATAGCCAAGGAGATTTTCTTTATCCTCTCTCTTAATAGAAATTACATTACTTACCTCCCAGTTTTCTTTCCATTTGTTTAAATTTAAAGTGTCATTTACTTTCCCCTCAAAAAGCACAGCCCCTCTTCTCTGCTTGATTTTGTGTGAGGCTCTGGGAGGATGTACTGCATGAGATGAACGTTCTTCTGGTTTTTGTGGTTTTGGGTTTTCTTTTATTTGCGAGGGGGTGTTGTTGGGTTTTTTAGTAAGTTTTTTTTTTTAACCGAGTTGGGTCTAAGTTTTTTGGGGACCTTTTTTTTGTTTGTTTGTTTTGTGCGGTTTTTTGGGGGGTGTTTTTATTGTTTTCTTTTGGTTGGTTGGTTGTATTATTTGAATTTGTTTTGGTTTTCAGCCACATGATGTAATGAAGATAAGGCTGGATGACAACTCTTGCGGGGCTGAATGTCAGAGTTTGGAATTGATGACTTCTGGGTTCAGGAAAAAATCTAGATATATGATAGGTGGATGGATGGATGGATGGATGGATGGAAAGATAGATAGATAGATAGATAGATAGATAGATAGATAGATAGATAGATAGATAGATAGACAAATAGATAAATAGATGGATAGATAGATAGACAGATAGATAGATAGATAGATAGATAGATAGATAGATAGATAGATAGATAGATAGATAGAGAGACAGATAGCCAAGACTTAAACATCAACAGAAGAAATTAGTTTGCGAAACCTACAACTACAAGTAATAACAATACATAGTTGTTGGCTTCATGACTTTCACCTCAAAACAATGTGAGGAAGGGAACTGAAGCAAGTCAGAAGAAGAAGGTGTCTTCTCTTTGAAAACTGATATTTTCAACACAATTTAATGGCTGTGGCACTGACTAAGCTGACAGCTCCAAAAAAAGAAATCTTAAAGTAACCCTGACAGTCCACCCACATTACAGATGCAGAACTGCCAGAGGGACCAATCACATAAAGGTTGTCTCCCAACCCACCTGCTAACAAACCAGTTTCAATCTGTATCATGGACAGGAACTTCACTAGGATTAGGCTTAGGCATTGCTACAAATTAGACACGGCCAGGGTTGAGCTCAGTGACAGTGCATGGTTACTGTTGTATTTATCATTTTGAGCTGCTGTGGCAGAGGACTTGATTGTGTAGGACTCGTGTCCTCAGCAATGTTGATGGTCACAGAATTTCTCAAATGCAAATTATCCTCAGGCTTCTGGAACCTTTGCCTCCAACTTTAAAATACAAGTTTTACAAAGGAAAATATAGTGTATAAATAAATATGTGTGTGTGTATGTGCCATATATTGCCATATCTCAGAGCCCTGCTGGACCATTCAAATTTGTGCAAAGGGAAACTTTTCCAGCTTTGAATTATATTCATGTTCAGGGCTTTTTTTTAAACTCACAGAAACAAAAGGCAAAATTATGCGCAGTACATTTATCACTCCCTGGTTGTGTCTTTACAGGGTTCCAGATTTGCACTGGTGGCTACCAACAAAAGCTCTGAAATCAGAGCTCAGCCTCCTAGGAACCATATTCTTTATACACAAAGCCACAAACTGATTATTTTGTATCAGTCATCACTCATTCTTTGCAATCTGAACTTATTCTTTGCAAAGGTTTTGTGTTTATTTTCTGGCTTTAGAGAAATTTCTTCTGAGAATTTCAGTTCATGTTTGGAAATGAGGATTGACATCAGACTTTCCTGTTCATGTTTTTTTCTATTGGAGTCGTGACATCTCACTTTTAGAAAAGATTTTGAACAAGGTTCAGTTAATAAATATGAACTTTAAGTTTTTACATATGTAAATTCATACCTTTTCTGGAACAACTGTTATTTCTACCTGGAAATTAATTATAAATACCCAGAAAATTATGCTGAAAGGCTTCTGTTTTGGAGTTACTGATTCTAATGGCAATAATATGAATGGTCTTTGATGCATCTGTACCTTGTAATTTTCATTAACCAGATGAAAAGATGAAAGATCAGACCTCAATATCAGTTACATCAGTGAAACTTCATTGTTTTCCTCTTGTATGACTCTTCTCAGAAGGCAAAACAAATCCCAACATCTGATTTTCTATCTTGTCTTTTCCTAAAGATTGCCTAAAGTTCCATAACCATCTGGGCTCCCTTGCCTGTGTCATATTTGTTCTCTTCAAGGAAAGAGATTCAGATTTTATGTAAGTCATCTCCATAGGGGGAAGTCCTGCTACCTGTTAGCACAGTGCCTGATTTTTCAAAAAATTAAACATAATACTGTGTCTTTAATGTCTCTCACTGAATTACAAATTGGGGAGCTGGCACTTCTCTCATTTTATTCATCCTAATTACAATTGCCCTGTCACTGAGATGCCAGCCTGACTAAGAGCAAATCAGGTAGTGACTCCCCAGGGTCTTCTTTGTAACAAGAAGGCTGTCTCTAGTGGCTTCAAAATGACAATTTCCTCTCTTTTACTTCAAAGTAGAATGTTTCCCCTGGACAGTTTCACATTTGATTGTTTTCACTAGCCTCTCTGTCTTGAGCTGCTTGATTAACATCTCAGTCACCTAAGAAATTAGACTAAAGTTTGTGCCTTGGAAGAAAAAAATATAAAAAAGAAAAGGAAAAAATACAGAGTAAAAAAAAAAAAAAAGAAACTATTGAAAATTTATCTTTCCAGTAGGGAAGGAATTGAAGGTACAAGAGAAATGAAGCTCTGATAAAGTTTTGCTGCCTGAAGCTATATCTCATCGTAAGGCAGGATTGACTTCTTGTTTGGCAAATGTACAATACTTTAATAATTTTAAAGGGACAGTCAATTTATATTCCTGCTTGAAAAAAAAAAAATTAAAACAAAAGCAAAAATTGTCCATCTCTTTTTTTGATAAGCAGCATCAAATAATATGTCATAAACTCCAACCAAATAACAAGGAAGATGCTTTAATTCCAGTGTAGGAGTGTCACCATGGATTCAGTTGCATGGTAGAGAACATAAGACTTCAAGCTGCTGATTATACCCTTTCTACTTGGCCTTTCTAACACAAAGATAATATATTCACATCAGCTGGATATCAGAGGCATCTATGTACAAATACCATGATGGTTTAGGACTGTCTGTGAAAACCAGAAGCCAGCCTAGATCCCTGGAGCACACGAGCCTTACTGATAATGAAACTCTTGGTTCTGTCTCATTGAGCTCCCTGATTTGTCTGCTTTTCCATCTCCTGAGACACCTGCCACCCTAGTTCTTAGGCATGGGGAATTAACACAGCATTATTGTCCAAAGAGACAGCAAGACGTCCTCTCTTTTGTGAATCACTGGCATGTGCTCCTCATGGCTGTTTTTGCTTCTTCCCTTTCTCCTACATGATGCAGCCAGGAAAGGAGGACACATGTAAGTACTTTATCTCAAGGTCCCTTGCACAAACATAATGGAGGGAGCCCTGTTGAATAGTAAACAGAGGGGTTCTTTTTTGCTGTTTATTTTTTGGGGGGGGTTTTGTTTGTTTTTTTGTTTGTTTCTGTAGCTCTGATTGTTACTGGTTTGGGTTTGCATTCAGAATCAGGATGTTTTCGTATTCTTTTTTACATTTCCACACCCAAAAGATTTACAGAAATAAGTCTGGAAGAAGTCTGGTTAATACCCCGTGCATGTCTCATCCTAAAGAGAAAGATGGAATAATTTGCAGTGTCCAGTTGCACTTGATCAAATGATTACTGTCTTTCCATCTGGTTGTAAAACATTCCCACCTTTCACTAATTCGTCTAAATTTCTGCCGTTCCAGTCAAACTGGAATTTATTACTGCCCACTTACCCTGATTTACTTCTGAAATTATTTGCATGGCTTCTATCAATGCTATTTGCATATTTTTATTATGAATAGTGCTTATTTGGGGGCAGACTTGATTTATGAGTGTTTGGCATGCTATGCCCAGTTATTTAGTTTTCATTTCTGATTTGCACAAAGGGAATGAGAGAAGTGGTAATTCTTTTTCTCTTGACGCAGAATATGTGGAGGACCAGTAACACTTGAATAAGAAGTTATTGTATTTTGGTTTGTTTTGGTTTTAGGGTCAAATTCTCAAATGTAAACAATTACATGTCTTGTCAAGCTTTTATAGCAAATCAAAATTATTCTTTCCTATATTCAGCTCTGCTCAAAATCAGTATAGAAACTTGAAGGGAAAAATGTAATCACTGAAACAAATACAAGGAAGGCATGAAAACAGCACCAAGAGGAAAAATCCTTTCTTTCTGTGGTAGTATCTTCATCCTTACCAAAAAGAAGAGGTATATGTTCTTCGATAGGGAAAAGGAAATGTTATTTGATGTTCCTTTTGATTTCTGTCATGCAACCTTATTGGTATGTTAAAGCCCACTTTCACTCACAGAAAAACAAGGCAATAATTCTTTCCACTATTGTTTTTTTTGTAAATTTTTTGTTAACTGCTTTTCTGACTATTTTTCCACATATGTGTGAGGTAGAGGGGCAAAAGATATCTATATTTTATTTCTCCTCCTTGAATTCAACTTTTAAGTTGTTTTTCACTGACCAGAAAACAAGAGGAAAAAGAAAAAAGGATGAAAAAAACCCCTGAAATATTTTGAAATTTCTTGAATCAGAGCTGACTTTCAGAGTCCAGTTTTTTTGACTCAGGAGCTGGTTTTGAGACCAGAGACTTCTGGTAACAGAGGTAGAAATCCTTTCAACACAAAGTGGTTACTATTTCATGACTGCTCCTTCCTACAAAGTTTTATCACAAAGACTGGATGGATTATCACCTGAGATCTGCATTCACACAACTCGTGTCTAATGATAGGGAAAGTCTGAATTGACACTTTTAAAAGAGTAAATCGTGTGAATATGTGGGTAGAATTCACATAATTTAATTGGAGGCACCTCAGAGTTTGGTCTCTAACAAAACCACAGTATTGTAAGGAATTGGAGTCGACGGAGAAGCGTTTCTGGAAAGGAAGTAATATCATCAGTTATAGAGAAATATCTTAGCCTGATTGCAAGTCTGACTATTCTTAAACAAGCACCGGGAACCATTCCCAGGGGAAAGTTGTAATTAATAGTTCAGCCTCTACTAAATTAGGTAGAATAGAGAGTATTCTGTGTAGGCTGCTGTAATCACTTGAGGTAAAAATATAGTAACTTCAATAAGCTTAATTTAGGTTGAACTGCATTAGCACTAATACTACAAAACTTTGTGGAAAATACTAGGTTCTTCCTTGCTGCATTGTCAAAGAATGAACAGTTGCTGGAAAACTGTCCTCTGTAAATTAACATCCTGTTGAAGTAAAATAATATTATTATGTTTTATATGTGGGGATGGAGCATACAGATCTCATATTACTCAGTGAACTTGTACCTGGAAAATAAAAGCAAAATTCAGTTTCCTTAAAAATCTGTATTCTGCTGAATTCAGTAAAGCCTTCTTTTTCAGAAATCACCTTTTCTGTGGCATATAGACAACACTGCAGACCAGCCTAACATGATCCAGGACAAAGGGCAGTTTCATAAAGAGGTATTTGTTTTGAGACTCTTTCAGCCTAACCTTTATTGTTCTCTCCTGTCCCTGCTCTTATTCCCTTATTTGAGGTAGAATTTGGTCTCAGAGAATGTCTCCTAGACAGACTCCCAGAAATGAGCACTGCTAACGCAAGTTTTACTCATGGTTTACTAAGCTTTCCTCCCACCAGAGAAAACCACTGGCAGGGCATGGATGAGCCTTGTGGCTCTGAGGAGGGCAGGATGTGGTTCTGGCACCTATCTCACTTCTGGAGACTAGGTAGGGATACTGGCAATGATGTCATTGGACACAACTCGTGCTTCCATGCAGTTCATTTTAGAATGCCACTGTAAAAATTCCTCATTCTTGTTAGCTGGTTGCTATGTCATTAACTCACTATAGAGCCCCCATAATGTCCCATTATACTGTACTTTCAAGCTTTTGGCTGCTAATTAAGCATGGAACATTCTCGATTGTTACAAGTCTGAAATTAAAGGAAGGAAAACTTACATTATGAATAATAGTGTTAAATAATAATAATAATAATAATAGGATTAATGGACACCCAACTATGTACATAATTAGTCTAATTCCAATGAGAGGGTGATGGTGAATGTTTTATCAGTGTCACCAAGCCCCTGAAGTATAATTACAGACCTATTTTTTTCAATGCCTAGTGTGTGTTATTCATTATATTATGTGAAGAATGGAGCCTCAGTTAAAAAAATACAGGGAAGACAATTTAAAACTGTTTCAGAAGGGTTCTTTTATGTTTTGTTTGTTGAGAAAGTTTTAGGTTACTTTCATTGCCGTGTCTCTGTTCTCATTTTTGATCAGCAATTATAATATCAGCATAACCTCTACTAATTTCATGAACAAAATAAGGTACAATAATGAAAGTACAGGTCTCCAAATTGAAGAGGAAGAAAAGGGCTACTCACTTCCAAAAGTAAAGATTTCTAAAGTAGACGTGATTATGTTATTTCTGGATTATTCAAGTATTTGTTAACCAAGACTTCCAACTTCCACCCACTTCCAGCTACTGCTTAGACTCACTCAGTGAAGGTTTTGTTATGCAGGTCAGCTATATGTTAAAATAGAATAAAATCCACTAACACCACTTGTTTGTATTTAAAACTGCTTCCAACAATTCTTATATAATTTTTAAAGGTGAATAATTATATTCCTATAATGTTACTTAATATTATGTGTCTCATCTTTTGTTTTATATCCCTATTTCATTAGGACCTTGTATAATTGAGCATTGAGTAAATTTGGATCAACAACTGACTGCATGTTACCAGACATGACTACTGAAGCCTAGACATCTCCTTCTTTTTCCTTTTTGACAATCCACAAAAAGTCAGGCTGAACAGTTGCCTCAGGACCACAATAATTTTAGTTGCAGAGGACCTTTGGAGGTCATCTGGTGCAATTTCCATCCTGAAACAGGGATAATTTGGATCAGGTTATTATATGGAATAATGCATCAATTTTACATGGAATTTTTACAGAATCCTGGGGATGAAAAGGAGAAAGGATCCTAAAATATCAGGCATTTTAGCAGGAGTTCATTGAAAAAGGGCATTCCAATACACAAAATATATTATTTTTTCAAAAAATATTTTTCTAATGCAGCTCCTTCCATTCTTCACTGGAGTAGCATATGAAAGTAGTCAAGATGACTTCTGTTGTGAGTTCAAGTACAAGATATTTTTCTAGTGAATACTTGTTGAAAAGGAATTAATATTTCTAAATTTAATACTGCAAAAAATTACACCTGAACATTAACAAATTGCAAGTTGTTTTGACATTCTGCAATATTGACAGAGCAATAATTTGAATTTCGATGAGTAACAGCATAAAAAACCTTGTCTCTCTTGGACTGTGGGGTTGCTATTTTCTTTTTATTTTGACAAGAATGTAGATTTAAGGCTAACAAAACCTTTAAAGTTGCAGTGAAAAAACCCTGAAACTTCACATCCAAAGCTATTGGTTTGGATGACTCTGCACTTTCTTGCCAAATCCAACCATTTCCACAATGCCCTCTCTTCCCTCTAAAAATAAATAAAACATAACCATGCCATTTCAAAATATGTCCATGGAACTTTCCTGTTTCTCTTCCACAATATCATCGATGAGGGTCAAACCCAGACAGAAAAGAGAATACATAAAATTTAGTGTGAATAACCTCATTTATTCACTGAAGCTTTATAGTGGTGATCAGCTGCTTGTCTGGATTTTGTTCCATGTTTTGGTTTTTCACTAATTGGAAATTAATTCTGGGAGTGTATTTCAGAGGGGCCAAAGAGCGTCCTTAGGAGATCTTGTGGTTGGAAGGCAGTAACTTGTAGAGCATGCCATGACTGCAAGAGCTCTGTGGAACCTGGAAATGTTTCCAGGCTGGTTTTTTTAGTTCTTCTCAATAGCCAAGATTTTCTGCAGACACGTTTCTCTGATTTCTGGTTTATTTCCAGACCTGAGTGATTTTGTGTCATTTGGGAAGTCAGAATTTTCAAGGTCTTCATGCTCATCCTAATCCAACAGCTCACTGAACAAGGATAAAGGAGCTTGATTATGAAAAGATCTAAGCTCTGTGTTTTGCTTGTGTCTAGTAGCAATTATTTATAGTTAGTATTTATATTTTGGCATGATCATTATTATTAGCACTGCTTCATTTCCAAATACTGAAGAAGCTATGCTGCAAAATGCAGTTTATTTGAATATTAAAATTCTATATCCTTAATTCTTTGAAAAGAGTGGTCAAGGGAATAGATAACCGTGACAAAAACATCCATTTAAATTCATGCAATAGATCTAAAACTACCAAAATTTATAGCGCTGCTCAAATCTGTCCTTTATTTATCATGATAATAACAGTAACTTATTTTTATAGAACAATGTTCCATGAAACAGGGTGAAACGAATAGGACAATAATCCTTGTCCTAATTTTTTAGTAACAGACCAAAGCAAACAGGTTTTCAAAGGGTAAAATGTCCTTTTAAAATATGTGCTCTCTCCTTCTCCTCTCTACAACCTTTGCCATCACATTTTCTGAAACTTTCTCTCTCCCCAGGATTCAGTGGCGCTGGAATGCTCAGTGTCAGCTCTGCTGCTCTTATGGCTTTCTTAAATTCCAGTGTGGGTTTCCTCTAAGTCCATTTCAGCCTGACAATTCCCCTGTCTGCAGGGTTCCTGACCAAATACCAACCTCCTCGACTGGGAGGAACATTTTGCTTTGGGAAGGTTTTTCAATTTGATTCCTTTGACAGTGAGTGCATGTGTGAATGGGCTGTCATGATTTCAACATGCAGAAGGGAGTCAAATCTCACCAACTCAGAACATTCTGTGATTCTGTGATCTGAGGTTAGTGAGTCTAAAATCAAAACTTTATCTGAGAACTACTGTACTGTTTGTCTGTCTTGTTCGGAGAGACTAAAATTCAATACAGACTATAAAGTCTGTAAAATTTACCTCCTACAACAGAGCATAGCCACGCTTGAAAATTCACTTAGCATCCACAGAAAATAAAGTCTTTGTCCAGTCTTGAACATCTGGATAACTGATAACTTGGCTATTTGGGTAACTGAGTTAAGATCTTATTTAGAAACTTGGTGATTTTTAAGAAATTTTGCTCTCCTTCAGCTTCAAATATAGTCAGAAGAGACTGATAGTGCTTCTGAGGTACTTTAGGCATCATTACTCTTCAAATGAGCAAGCTGTTTTGGAAACCTTAGATGTGTTCATAATTCTAATAACTACACAGACGTCCTAGACATTCTTATCTTATTTTTCATTCTGGAACAAAATATCAATATGAGTCAGAGAAGGGTGTTTGGTTCTTCATTTCAATAGTCATTCAACTCACTGTGAAGTAGCAAAAAAAATTCAAGTCTTTTTATGAGCCTTTAAGTGAGGTCAGACATATTCTTCAGTCCTACACATTTGAATTAGGAGGTACTGTGAGCAAAAGGAGTGAATAAAATGTTCCAGAACCGAATGATGAGGGAGGGTGGGAGTGTTTGTCTGTTACGGCCAGAAAACCTGTCTGTTTCCCAGAAAATAAATTACTCAGCTCAAGAAAGACAATATCTGGCCAACAAAGGTTATTCAAAAGCAGAGGAGATGAGTCTGTAGACTCAAAGGCCATTGTCACCAAACACAGGGGATTATGAGCCATGTGACTTTTCTGAAAAGAAACAGGAAAGTGGAGGGCATGGAAGAACGTTGGTAGCGCAGAGTGCAAAATTAAGCCATACCAGACAAAATCAGTCTCAGTCTTTTTGTTCGTGATGAATTCCAGTGTTCTTTGAGATGTGTTAAAGAAAAAAATGATGAACACTTCAGACACTTAACACTAAAAATCCCTCCACACATTCATCTTCAGCATGAATGGCACAGCTTCAAACCAGACATTTCATACACTTGACTAGCAGTTCTGTTATCTAACAGCAGTAGCAAGCAATTATCACCTTAAAGACATCAGGGGAAAATGTCAAAAAATTCCTTATGTCTGACTGGAAAAAATCAGCACAGACAATTTTATTTTGGTAAAGAAACCTTCATATCAAATCAGTTTCCACCACCAAGTTGAAGTCAGAGGCTCTCATTTATTGCCAGCTTACTGAAAGGGAGACATGGATGACTGATGACCTGCTGCCTTCCTTCCCTTTCTTCTCTGATGGATTTCATCTCACAGGTCCTCATTGTCCCAGTTAAGCACTGAAATACGTGATAAGAACTCTCTTCTAACTAGGAGTTAATTATGAATGGAGATTAAAATATTGCAAGGGTTGCAAAATTCCAGTTGGCAACATGAGGGACAAGATAAAATAACTAAATCATATCTTCCAGAGTTCTTCAGTATCAGGTCAAAAAATAAGATGGATTTTGACTACAAAGGACAAAATAAAAGTGTCTTATTGGTTGAGTTTACTTTATCTTGCCATATATTGTTTATCTATTTCCTTCTTTTTATTTTTCTGGTTTTGTTTTTGTTTTACTTTTTTTCCAT